CTCCGCCCCTCCCCCCCGCACCTTCCAGCTCGGTGCCAGGGACCCCTCACAGCACGGAACCCGCCGGCCACTGTCACCCATCCCGCGTGGGGGTGGCCGAGTCCAGAAACACGGTTGTGCCCGCCAGCCACGCGTGCCCTGCTCTCATCCCTCGGCCCACAGCGGCCACACGGGCCGAGCCTCCCCACTTTCTCTTTTCCGGGCCTTTTCTTCCCCCGGGCTGGCAAAGAGTACGTTTAGTTAGAAAATTGCAACAGATGGAAGGGGGGGCACCCCTCCTTCCCCTCCTCTACCCCAGGGAAGAAAAGGCTCCCCCCTACTTGTTTTTGACAGCTGCCCTAAACTCCATGGCCCCGGCGGTAGCCGCGGGAGACAGGCGCTCGGGATTCAAGGGGCGGGGCTCGGGAGGAAAAGTATTCCGGACAAGAACCAACTTCTTCCAGAATGCCGGGCTGCCATGGACACGCGGGGGCGGCGCGGCGCACCCTTCTCGCGGACGGTTCCTCACGAGACAGTGGGAGTGGGAGTGGGGGGAGGTGAGACCCAGACACCCACCGGCGAATGTCTGTTCCCCCAGGCTAAAGCTGCGAGTTCCGGATTGAATTGCAAGGCAGTTTCGAAATCTACCACGTTGCGGATAGACACTTGTCATACTCACAAGCTCTTTAAACGTCCCTGCTGGGGACAGCCAGGGCGCCGTTGCAACCCAGCAGACCCCCCCAACTCCCCACCCCCGGACCCCGCAACGGCCATCTCCATGGAAGAGGGGCGACCATGCCGTGGCTACGTGTCTGCTTCGGTAAAGTGTCTACTTTTAGACTTAAATCTCACTAGGGGACCCCCTCCTCCCCCTGTATTTCAAACAGAAAGTAGCCACTGCGTAAACATATGTTCCTGTTGGTTTATTTTGTTTGGGAGTTAGGAGGACTCCAAGAGAAGTTTCTAGGTGAAATTCCATCCCTTTAAAACCAACAACAAAAGATGCTGTTTGGGCTGACTTTCAAGACGCGCATGCCCGCACCTCTACGGCTGGTTTTTAGCCTCAGACGGGTTGTACAAAGCAAATGAACTGTCAAATGTCACCGTAAGACTTTCCCCAACACCTAAAAAAAAAAAAAAAAAAAAAAAAGCCCAAACGTAAATAAGCCTAGTAGCAACGTCAGCGCCAGTGTCCGGCTCCACTTTCGGCTCTGTGGGCTGTTCTTGTGACCTCGGTGAGATCCGGCAGGAGACAGACAGTTCGATGGAAACAAGGCTAAACCCAGCTCCACTAAGGCGGCCGCAGGATGACCAGCCTTTGGAGCCTGTTTACGATTACGCTGCAAATTAAAGCCAGCCTCCGCCGGGCCCCCTTCCCAAAAATACTCCGGCTCGCGGAGTGCGTGGAAGCCACGGCTGAAGCAACTCGGGTGGTTTTTCCAATTACAGGACTTGAACCAACAGGGGGAAAGCGGCAACCTTAAAATGACTTCTTTTCCCTTCTGTGGTTGGCAGAGTGCTCGGCACCCAAGAGAACGCACACGTGAAACAGCCCTGGAGGACACCGAGGGGAAAATGCGCTTGGGAGAAATCACCGGGCTCGGAAGCTACGCTGCAAACCGCCGGAGGCGCATCTCCTTCCCTGACCTGCCTGCGGACGCGGCTGCTGCAGCGCCCCAGAGCCGGACAGATGTGGCGCGGGGAGGGCACCCGCGTCCCCGCCGCCCGTTGGAGGGCCGCCTAGCTCTCCCATTTGAAGGCTTGTTTGTGGCTGGGATTGGTGGCTCATATCCGCTGGGGAACCGGGAGAGGAGGGAGGAGAGATGGCGGGAGGAGGAGCTGGGGGCGGGCGACGCAGTCACCAGGGTGAGTGGCAGGAGTCTGGTCCCGACCCCGGCGGTTGCTGCGGAGACGCTTTGTTTGCTAACTTCGAAAGTGGCTTCGAAGCCACTCCACGAACACGCCTCCCTTCGGTTTAACCCAACCCCCGCCTGCCTAGGGCAGCGCGAGACCAAAAAAAAACGTTTCCTTCTTCCCGGTGGTTATCCTTGGCCAAGCGGTGGCTCTCATTAAGTACACAAAGGTAGCTTTTCTTTCCTCCCAAGTCAGCTTGGCTAATTAATACGATTCTCAAGCAACAGAGATGGAAACCGGGTTTACAGTTTGAAAACAAACTTTACAGGATAAGGGGGAGGGGTGAAGAGAAGGAAAAGCCTCTTTCAAATCATGAGGAGGGGAAAAAACTGAGAATTTAACTCACCCTGGGGCGAAAGCCACCATGAACAGGCCAAGGGACACCTTTTGCTGGAGTAAATCATACCGAAGCAGTTGTTGATTCTAGAGCAAGCTGACAGGATTCTGTGGTGGAGCTAAAGCCTTATTCTTCCCTCCCCCACCCCTCCCTCTCCGCCCCTAAGGCTAGAGGCAGACTTGTTTTACTTTCCAGGAAGTAAGTGCCTGGGGTCTTTATAACTCTGCAGAAGGAAACCACCCCCCAAAGTGAGCTCATAACACTAGCAATAGTCGGGGATATTTTTTATGTGCTTTCCACAAGGTGGAAAAACAAGTTTCAGTTCTGTCAATGTCTCAGGGCCTCTCCATAAACCTTATTCAATGACTTAAGATTTCAAAGTTAGGTTTGTTGTTGTTGCCACGTGCTTTTACTGAATTCACTGGCCTCTTCATCCAGTTGCTGGAGTAAAACCAAGCCGTTGCCTGGCGCTCGGAAGGACTGCTGATAAACGTTTTTCACCATTATTTTTTGTTTTCCTTTCCAAATACAGACTCTGTCTTGTGTGTTATCTGCTGAAGCTGGTGCAAGACGAAGCAAAGACAATTGTTAAAAGTCAATTTTCTGGGGCTGGAGAGATGGCTCAGGGGTTAAGAGCACTGGCTGCTCATGCAGACAAGACCAGGGTTCGAATCCCAGCATTCACATGGCAGCTAACCACCATCCATAACTCCAGTTCCTAGGAATCTGACGCCCTCTTCTGATCTTCCCAGGCATTGCATGACACTGGTGCACTTCCATACATGCAGGTAATACACTAATACACAAAAAGTAAAAATAAACAATTTAAAAAATCAATTTTCTAGCCGGGCGTGGTGGCGCACGCCTTTAGTCCCAGCACTTGGGAGGCAGAGGCAGGCGGATCTCTGTGAGTTCAAGGCCAGCCTGCTCTACATAGTGAGTTCCAGGACAGCTGGGGCTACAGGGAGACCCTGTCTCAAAAAGACCAAAAAACGAACAAACAAACAAACAAACAAAAATCAATTTTCTTTTCACAGCCTGGTACCCTTCAGATGCCAAAACTCAAATAGAAACTTAGAAAGGCTAGTAAGATAAAAGACCTGTACCAATAAGTGTAATTATTACCAATGATGCCAGGCCCATTAACTGTTTGGAGGAGGTATTAGTTTCATCTGGATAGATGATTAGACATGATTTCCACCAGGTCCTGAGCCCAGGTAGGGGAAAGCTGACTCATATAGCCACTAGATCCCTTTGCTTCCAGTGTGGGGGAGGGCAGGTATTTATAAAATATGCAGACTGCTGGGCTCCAAACATTGTACAAAGGGCCTATAATCATCTTGTCACCTCTCAGGTCTGAGGAGCCCTGGGACTGCTTAAGGAGGAGTGAGCCATTGTCTTTTTAAGGGCCTAGGGCTGGTTGCAGCTGTCCTGTGATTTTATCAGCACTAGCAGGATAATGCTTTTCTTCTT